AATAAATCAATAAATTGCATCACTTTTTCTAAGGTTTTCTCAGCAGTATTGCAACATAACCTCCAAACATGATCAAAATCGATTTTCTTCACAATTTTAAAGGTTTCTCTCAAATGAGAAAATAATTTGAGAGCTATAAGCCATTACATTTAAGTTTGCCATTTGAAATCAGTCCCCCTGTAGTCAATAATATTAACCCTTAAAACTCATCGTTGATTACCAAAATTACATATTTAAAAAAAATTCTTCATGACTTAAAATATCTTGAATGTAACTCGACACCCTTGCCTCATTTAGTATGCGCGGTTCTATGAATATGCAAATGAGCCCCACCTCCACTCACTCACTCAGCTCAGAGATCCACTAATGTTGCGTGTTCATTTACATGCCAGAGACACAACTGTTGCAAACATCAGCCTGTCAGTAAATAAACACTTGTCATGAACTATTATCTTTTTGTCATTCTAAACCGGTAACATAAACCACGAGTGCTGGAGTAACTCTGGTATTGTTTGGACCTATTTAAATGTACATTCATGAGTTAAATCACTTACACATCTTCTGCTGCAGGTTGTTGGTCTCGAACATGCGCTGGTAGACGAGCGCCTGCTCCGCTGGATCCTCCGGGATCAGACGGGTTCCCTGAGTCTTGAACGCACTCTGGAAACCAGAAATATTTCCCAGTCTGTGACGTGACCCTCATCTTTGTGTTTGGAGCAATTGTTATAACTACTCTTCCTTGAAAATCACGGATTCAATTTCAAAAGCAAATGCTGACCAGTATTTGAAGGTTGAGCTGCGAGCTCATTGGCTATTGAAACAGCAGGAACCAATCAGCTGTGCCCTATAGGCAATCATTTGCATTTGCTCAAAAAACCTTTGCATTCTTTTGTGAGCGAACTCTGTAAAAGTTTCTCAGGGGAATGCAAAAAGTTTATGAATACATGCAATAATATTGAAATACGTATGCGTTTATTTTTGTGAACAGCTCTTAACCATCTAGTATGAAAGCCCATTTTCACCACATAAGAAAAAACAGGCTATAGGAAGTCATAATTATGACCAAAAAAGTCAAAATGATGACATACTAATTGATTATAAGATGAAGTCAAAACTTTGACTTACATTTTCATGACAAAAATTTGAAATTGACATAAACACACATAATTATGACATAAAAGCTTAGTATGTTATGTCTACTTTTGATCTCAATTCTGATTTAGTATGTCATAATGACTTTTATATCATAACTTTGAAGACGAACCAATTTATTATTATGTGGCAGGAATAGGCCTCTTCATTTCCCCGCATTTGGCAGGTGAATCTTTTCTTATTCACAAGATTTATAACACTTTTGGATTGTGTTTGTCTAAATGAGGCACAGATGTAACGTTGTTTCTACGAGCGCGTAAGGAAGTGTTTATGGCACTGCTTTACCTCCAGATACAGACACGCGGCGAAAGACTCGTTCACGACGAGATCTCCGTGCTTGAAAGTTGGAAGCTGAAATATAAACAAATGTGCAATGTTAAAAAAAACAAGATTGGTCAATGTCGTGTCTCTTTATGAAAGTTGTATGTGTAGTAAACTCGTAATGCTAACACCAGAACTACCCCTCCACAGGCGTCTGTCTGAGACGCACCTGAACTCTGGGATTGAGCGCCTTCACTTCTGCACACTGGTGCTCCTTCTTGTCAAACGACATAAGTTTGTGTTTGTATCCCTGCAGTTTCTTCTCCTCCAGCGCGATCATGAGCCTCCAGCACGGCGGAGAGCCGGAGCCCCAGTACAGCTTCATGTTCTGCGCCATAATGTCCAGTTTAATCAGAAATGTTGTTACAGATTTTGTTTCGTTCCGAGCGGTGGGCGTGGCCTGTTCGCAAGTTCAAGGAGCATGCGCAGTTTATGCTCGTGTGAAGATGACGTAGGGAGGCTGCTTAAAGGAATAGTTAACCTAGAAATTAAAATTATCCCATAATTTACTCTCCCTCAAGCCATTTTAGGTGTATATGACTTACTTTTGGCAACACACTAGAGTAATATGTAAAAATATCTTTATAATGGCAGTGAATGGTGACTGAGATTTTGAAGCTCCAAAAAGCGCATCTATCCATCATAAAAGTAATACGTGCGTTAATAAATACCTTCTGAAGGAATATCCATTTAAAACTTTATAAACTAATGACAAATCGAGTCAAATACCAGTTAATGATTAAACTAAGTATATACTACTGATATTAATTTAAAGTATCTATAGCTTGCCATAAGCCAATAGTGCATAATAATTCAAATTGAACATAATTTGTTTCACTTGATAAACTGTTAATTAATTAATATTAATAATAGTATATTAAGTGAATTGAATTTTTTTTTTTCAATAACTGAAATATTTGAAAACTTAACACTTTTTTAACACTAAATTTCACCAAATGTTCCTTTACTTTGAATTGTTCGTTAACACTTTACAAAAATGTCCCATTGGTTAATGTGAGCTTATGCATCAATTTATGAACAAATGGAACCTTGTTGTAAAGTGTTATATTTCAAATTAAAGGAAAATTAGTTTAAATTTAGTTAAAAAGAGTTAAATATTCAAATATTTCAGTTATTAAAAGAATGTAATGGTTCAATTAGCAATAAAAAAGCGATTAGTATATAGTGTAAATAGTATGTTTTTTTTAACAGTATTTCGCTGTGTCATTGTTGACTCTTGTCAGCTTCGAAAGTCCACATGATGATGATGATGATGAAGATAACCCGAGCTGAAGGTGAAGCTGAAACTGCTCAGTCACTGCAGGATCATCATGAATCATCATCATGAATGTGTTCTTGTGGAAGATGTGCTTTCATATCTCAGATTGGTTTCATTAAAGCTGATTTTGCCTTAAAATCCGCATTGGCTCCTCAGTTCTTTTAAAAGTAGGCTATTTTATTCAAACATTCTGATCTCAGTCAAGGTTTAGCTGTACACAAGAATTATTGTGTGATTTTTATTTAATTTTTGCAACCAAATAATAACTTTCTGGGACGAACTTTCCCAGAACGTTGCGGGAAGTTTTTTGTAATAACCTAAAAATAACATACCATTCTCTAATGGTTATGTTTTATTTTTATAAGTTATAATAACCATTTCAGAATTCTTGATCTGTGTGTTAGTTTCAATTTCAGGGACTTTAGTGTATTCCTCAGTTACCGGTTTCCCGCCAGTCAGAGCTCTGAAATTAGTTTATAGCATTTAATAAAATGAAGAAATTAGATCCGTCAAAACACGTTATGACCAGATAATTCCAACTGTATAGCTAAAATATTATAGCCTGGCTGCGCCCTCCTACGCACTTCCGCTCAATTTCATTTTCCTTCAGTACTGCCCTGTCCCAAATGGAACCCTAAGCACTCGCGGTCTTCCTCTGAGTCCGCACTTTCGCGACGTAACGCCGCTTTGAATGTCGGGAAGAAGTCTGCTGTGGAGTCCGCATCAGCGCGGGCTCGGCAAAAGTGCGCATCAAGGGCGCAAATCGACCACGTGGGGGCGCTCGCGAGCACCCTTCTGAGATCTAAAAATGACAAATGGGACACACTGCGGTCTCACGGACTTAACGGACACGCGCACGCGGCAGCCATTGTAAGTCCACAAGACCGAAAGTGCACATGAAGTGTGCCATTTGGGACAGGGCCTACTACGTCTGGGATTTTGCTGTAGACTTTGGTTTTCTCCGATCAATTTTTTGTAGGGCCAATCAGCGAACAGAGGGAGTGGCTGAGAACGATGACGTGGTGCGTTATTTTGAGTTGTAGTTCAGTAATGGCAGCGGAGAAAGATGCGAGCGAAGCCATTCGGTCCGTTGTAGCAACGCTGGCGAATATTAAGAAGTTAAAGCCGGAGCAAGAACAATCTTTGCTTAGGTTTGTTTTGGCCATGATATTGTGGCCCTCCTCCCCAGTCCCCACGGGGTTCGACATACATCACGAGCAAACGTTAGCGATTGGTGGCAGATCCAGAGTGACTCTGGGCAGATCCAATAGTTTTAGACTTCAATAGAGTACCCGCCTACAAGGAAGTTAACGATTGTCAATGGAGCGGTGCCAGGTAGAACCAGGCTAAAAATATTAAGCGTATAGTTAAAACTGCAGCACAGAAAGATGCGCGCGCACTCGCGTAATTAAAAAAGTAACGGTCATTTCGTTTCACTGCTGACTGACTGACATTAGTTTATCGATCTCTTTATTGAATTATTGCTTACAATTAATATAGATATGAGTAACTATGATTTCGGAGAGATTTGACACGCCTGATTGAAGAGTTTGAAGTTTATACTGACATCCTACTTTTCTTTCATTTTTCTAATGTCTGTGAATAAATTTCATACTTTGAAAACCATAGATTTGGTTTAAGTCATTGTTATTTGGTGCTGAGGAAATGTAAAATCTGGGAACCCCTGTGCAAATCTTACATAATAATGGAAAATTTAATCTTCCATATGGTTGATGTGCTCGGATTATTTTCATGAATTCAACAATAATAACAATATAGCCTACAATTTGTATAATGATTATAGGCGTCCCATACCGGTTGGATTGACTTACTTTTTATTTAATGTACGAATATGGAAGAATAAACATGATAAAAATGAAAAATAACATGTGTATGAACCAATGCTTGCTTTTATAAAACACTGTGAAGATGTGAAATGTAATTGTTTAATTGAGTCCCAGACAGCAACATCGTGTCGGCCCAGATCCGGCCCACACTGCTGATGGGGTTAATCTGCCATTACAGACAATCACAAGCTTCATCGTTAGAACCGGTTCAAAATAAAGTTCACAAATTAAACGGTCAGACAGAACAGAAGCTGAAAACGTCACAAATTAAAGGTGCAGCAAAGAAAACAAGACAAGAGCTGTGATTTAACAGTTGTAGGAGTGAATTGATTAGGAAGAGAGACTTCTGAAACATTTCTTGCATAAAGGACTGTTAGAAAACATCACATCACATTACTGAATACATCAAAGCTGAACTTTATGCAATATTAATGTGATTCTGTGAGGATCCAGCGGTGCTGAGGACGTCTCGATGTTCCTCACAGGTTCTTCAGTGTGTCCTCACCCTCGGGTTTCTCCAGCCATTCCAGAGGCCAGCTGGCCTTAATACTGGGACGATCCTTCACCATTTCATAATACTCCATCAGTCTGGGACATTTCTCTTTAGGACAGCTGTTAACCAGTCGAACAGATCAAACATTAAACCAGTCAAACATTAAACCAGTCGAACATTAAACCAGTCAAACATTAAACCAGTCGAACATTAAACCAGTCAAACATTAAACCAGTCGAACATTAAACCAGTCGAACATTAAACCAGTCGAACATTAAACCAGTCGAACATTAAACCAGTCGAACATTAAACCAGTCGAACATTAAACCAGTCAAACATTAAACCAGTCGAACATTAAACCAGTCGAACATTAAACCAGTCGAACATTAAACCAGTCGAACATTAAACCAGTCAAACATTAAACCAGTCGAACATTAAACCAGTCAAACATTAAACCAGTCGAACATTAAACCAGTCAAACATTAAACCAGTCGAACATTAAACCAGTCAAACATTAAACCAGTCAAACATTAAACCAGTCGAACATTAAACCAGTCGAACATTAAACCAGTCGAACATTAAACCAGTCGAACATTAAACCAGTCGAACATTAAACCAGTCGAACATTAAACCAGTCGAACATTAAACCAGTCGAACATTAAACCAGTCGAACATTAAACCAGTCGAACATTAAACCAGTCGAACATTAAACCAGTCGAACATTAAACCAGTCGAACATTAAACCAGTCGAACATTAAACCAGTCGAACATTAAACCAGTCAAACATTAAACCAGTCGAACATTAAACCAGTCGAACATTAAACCAGTCGAACATTAAACCAGTCGAACATTAAACCAGTCGAACATTAAACCAGTCGAACATTAAACCAGTCGAACATTAAACCAGTCAAACATTAAACCAGTCAAACATTAAACCAGTCAAACATTAAACCAGTCGAACATTAAACCAGTCGAACATTAAACCAGTCGAACATTAAACCAGTCGAACATTAAACCAGTCGAACATTAAACCAGTCGAACATTAAACCAGTCGAACATTAAACCAGTCGAACATTAAACCAGTCGAACATTAAACCAGTCAAACATTAAACCAGTCGAACATTAAACCAGTCAAACAATAAACCAGTCGAACATTAAACCAGTCAAACAATAAACCAGTCGAACAATAAACCAGTCGAACAGATCAAACATTAAACCAGTCAAACATTAAACCAGTCGAACATTAAACCAGTCAAACAATAAACCAGTCGAACAGATCAAACATTAAACCAGTCAAACATTAAACCAGTCGAACATTAAACCAGTCAAACAATAAACCAGTCGAACAGATCAAACATTAAACCAGTCAAACATTAAACCAGTCGAACATTAAACCAGTCAAACAATAAACCAGTCGAACAGATCAAACATTAAACCAGTCGAACATTAAACCAGTCGAACATTAAACCAGTCGAACATTAAACCAGTCGAACATTAAACCAGTCGAACATTAAACCAGTCGAACATTAAACCAGTCAAACATTAAACCAGTCAAACAGATCAAACATTAAACCAGTCAAACATTAAACCAGTCGAACATTAAACCAGTCAAACATTAAACCAGTCAAACAGATCAAACATTAAACCAGTCAAACATTAAACCAGTCGAACATTAAACCAGTCAAACATTAAACCAGTCGAACATTAAACCAGTCGAACATTAAACCAGTCAAACATTAAACCAGTCAAACAGATCAAACATTAAACCAGTCAAACATTAAACCAGTCGAACATTAAACCAGTCAAACATTAAACCAGTCAAACATTAAACCAGTCAAACATTAAACCAGTCGAACATTAAACCAGTCGAACATTAAACCAGTCGAACATTAAACCAGTCGAACATTAAACCAGTCAAACATTAAACCAGTCAAACAGATCAAACATTAAACCAGTCAAACATTAAACCAGTCGAACACTAAACCAGTCGAACAGATCAAACATTAAACCAGTCGAACATTAAACCAGTCGAACATTAAACCAGTCGACATTAAACCAGTCAAACATTAAACCAGTCAAACATTAAACCAGTCAAACATTAAACCAGTCAAACATTAAACCAGTCAAACAGATCAAACATTAAACCTTAACCTGACATTATGATTAATAATGCTGTCTAAGGAGGATTGATAATGGTTTTACTCACTGAAGTCGTGGGAAATATGCGATAACTGGGAAACAAACGACGTCCGCCATGGTGAAGCTCTTGCCGGCGAGGAACGACCCTTTCCCCATCTGACCAACAGACCACAGTTTATCAGGACCACAAATAAGGGTTCAAGTTCAATGGACAAAGGTTGATGATAACAGTTATGGCATATGGCAATAGTTATCCTCTATGGCATTCATAATGCAATTAATTTCAATAAGAACGAATGACAGAGGCAGCGAATCAGTGAATTCGTTGTATTAAATCCTTTAGCTAATGTTCCTCTCCGTGATATTCCTTCAGAACGTGACGGGTGACTGAGGCGCTAAAGTTTGCCGTCGTCGTGTGATTTACGTCATCAAGCTGGCGTCGTTTCGTGAGATCGTGAGACTATCGATTAGGGCTGCCCGCTAATAATCGATTAGATGAGGCTAGTCGAACAAAAATGTTATTAGTCGGTTAGCGGAAGAAAAAACAAAAACCTTAAACCGTAATCCGCGAGGGACAGATCGTTAACGGCGAGTTCTTGTGTTAATTACAAACCCAAACGTTTGCCTATCATCCATCGACCTTAAACATGGCTTATCATTTAAAACATGCAAGTAGTAGCAGCTTTACATGGCCGCGCGCTATAATGCTAACCTAGATAAATGTGCGCTAGCCTTTTATTACGCGCATATCTAAGTGTGGAAGCTGTTAGCGCTCTTACGGCACGACGCTTAAAATACTGTCATGTTTGGTCTTACATCAAGAGTAGCCTAGAACGCCACAGCAAACGGACTCATTTTATTAGTGTGCACTAAAATAACTAAACGTTGTGCTTTTGTCAAATATAGAGAACCATCCGGATGTGCTTTCTGCCGTCTCGGCCTCGGTGAAACTCAGCGCGTCACAACACAAACCGAGACTCAGCGTGAACTTTCCTCACAGACATGAGAAATACATCTATCGAAAGCTTCAAACGTCTATTTTATAAACTAACAGATTCGTATGGAAAACAAATATTATGAAATGTTATGAAACGTGCATTGAGGAGCGTGCACTAATGCGGAGATTCGTCACTGCAGCCGAAAACAGAGAAAACACGAGTTCATCAACAAATTATTCAAATGTTCAGACAGTCTCTCGTTCATAACCATTCCTTTTGCTGGTGCGCTGTGGCTTTATGCGTGAGCAATTAAAGGCTCATTATTAAGAGTTGGCTAATTAATATACACGTGATTAGTCGACTAATCGCTTAAATGAACGACTACTAGTCGACTAGAAAAATCTCAAGTCGAGGGCAGCGCTACTAGCGACCGAGTCACAGAGTCCCTGTTTAAAACACAACCTTCTCCAAGTACCCGTCCCACAGCTTCAGCTCGGAGACTAGACTCTCTCTGTTCCTCTTCAGGGCCGACTCGTGCCGCTCTCCCTCCGGGACGTACCACTCGTAGAAGGCCACGTCATCTGCACACACACACACACACACACACAAGTTTAGCAGGGAATAACCGGCTGTCGTTCGCTCAGTGTGAAACAAAGCTGCTACTCACTTCCACCACTAGTAGGCGCTGTTGGACATCGAGGGCAAGAACCATAACGACACGCTTGTTGTCTTAATCCAAACCGCGAGCAAAGAGAGCATGTGATAGGAGGACGATGACAGCTCAACTACATGAATTTCTATTATAAGCTATTTTGAACCAGATGAGTGAAGATCTGAGTAGAGATCCGTTATTGTTCTTACTGTTGAAGACCTGTGAAAGCTTATATAAGGAGGCTAATGCTGTATAATACTATAGAGACTAACTGTTAAAATACATTTTATTAATATATCTATGCACATATTGTTTGACACCAAACACACAAATGTTAACTCTTTCCCCGCCAGATTTCGTTATTTCAAATGTAGGTGCGCGGTATGCGCGCTCATAATGGAAGCGACGTGCTCGTTTTTTCCATGTGCGTCCGCGCCGCATCGAGATAAAAACATCTCAACTTTTCAGAATGCCGCAAGCGCACCATAAGCGCACAGTAGGTCACGTGACAAGAACCAACCGGAGCGCAACCGCCCTAGCGCACATATTGTTTGACGCCAAACACACGAATGTTAACTCTTTCCCCGCCAGATTTCCAGCAACCCATGTTTCCACTGTTATACTGTAGGGGGCGCTATTACACATCACCTGAAAGAGTTCTGAATCTCAGGATCAAAACACAGGAGAAGAAGCAGCAGAAACCAGCGATAGAAGCATCGCTGACACACATGTACATTATAACGCGATCATCAAACGGCTATAAGTCAAAACTGCCGAACACTTCTGAATGAAATGTTGAACCCATGAAGAGGACACGACTGTGAAGATTTAGGGGTGAAACCCGACTAAGGGTACGCTCACATATCGCGTCTTTTGCGCGCTCAGGTTCGTTATTTCAAATGTAGGCGCGCGGTGTGCGCGCTCATAATGGAAGCCACGCGGTCGCGGTGCGACGTGCTCGTTTTTTCCATGCGCGTCCGCGCCGCATCGAGATAAAAACATCTCAACTTTTCAGAATGCCGCAAGCGCACCATAAGCGCACAGTAGGTCACGTGACAAGAACCAACCGGAGCGCAACCGCCCTAGCGCTTTGGAAAAAGGAGAATGCGGCGCGGCCAGCGTTTTCTACGCGTTTTTAGGCGCTATGTGTGAATCCGGCCTAAGAGAAATCAGTCGTCGTGCAGCTTTAAACGTACGTTCATGAGTTAAATCACTTACACATCTTCTTCTGCAGGTTTTCGGTCTCGAACATGCGCTGGTAGACGAGCGCCTGCTCCGCTGGATCCTCCGGGATCAGACGGGCTCCCTGAGTCTTGAACGCACTCTAGAAACCAGAAACATTTCTTTTATATTTTTCTTGGAGTTTTAAGTAACAAAAAAATGTCCACGTGTAACTAATCTAAGATGGTAATGAAGAAAAGCCAAGACGTAGAAGCACAAAAACCTTCCCATCAAGTACAGGACTTGCTACTGCCAATACACACACACACGTCCCGACAATACACACACAGGTCACGCCAATACACACACACGTCCCGACAATATATAGCGTACATGAATTACCCAGGGCAGATCTACACAGGTGGAGCTGGGGAGGAGGAGGGTTTCTGAGAGCGCTGCGACTGCGAGAGCAAATGCTGACCAGTATTTGAAGGTTGAGCTGCGAGCTCATTGGCTACTGATACAGCAGGAACCAATCAGCTGTGCCCTATGGAGAATCATGTGATTGCAAGCGGATGGAGTTACGACCGATCAGCCTGCACAATCTAGAGTTTCAAGACTGTTTTCATCCACTGTGTTTGTATAAAACCGAGAGAAAAAAAAAAAGGTTAGCCCCTTAAACTGACAGGTAGTAATGCAAAAATATGATGGGAGTAATATTTTAATGTCCTCCACAAAACGGGTTCCACTAGAAAATGTGCGTTCGCGCACAAAACCTTTGCGTTCTGGGAACTAAAAAAAGTTTTATGAATACATGCAATAATATTGAAATATTTTTTGGTTTGATTTTTGTGTGAAAGGCCCTTAACCGTTTAGTATGAAAGCCCATTTTCACCACATAAAAAACAAAACAAATAAAAATATGACAAATATTCTAAATGATGACATACTTATCCAAAATTATGAGATGAAAAGTCAAAACTTTGACATGTTGAAATTGACATACTAAGCAGAAATCATGACATGAAGTCATAACTATGACATTAAAAGCCAAAATTATGACATAAAACGTCAAAAGTATGACACAAATGGGCTCTATGCACGGCGGTATTTCCGGTGAAGGTCTAAGGATGCTGGATTACTTCCGCCGATCGCAGAGTCCAATGCTATACCGAGAATTTATATTGGTTTTTATACTCTATTGCTATACTAAAGAAACGTTAGTCACAAAAACTGACAAAACAGACACCCCTCATTTTGTTTATGCTTCTGTGTTTATTATATTAAATAAACATAACTATATATAAAATTACATCTAAACGTATTAAAGTTTCGTTTCAAAGACGAGAGGACAGTACATTTTGAAGACTCTGCCATAATCGCGTTTTCCTCGGTTTTCCTCCGCTTTAAATCTCCCCAACCGGAAACGCAGGAGCATCCTTGTGTCAAACGCGGAAGTTATGCGTGCATATAGCCCATTAAGTTGTGATTTTTACTTTTTATCTCAATTATGAGATCATTAATTATGTGTTAAGTATATTATTTTCTTATTCATAAGAATTATACCACTTTTGGTTTGTGTTTGTTTAAATGAGCCACAGGTGTATTTCTACGAGCGCGTAAGGAAGTGTTTATGGCACTGCTTTACCTCCAGATACAGACACGCGGCGAAAGACTCGTTCACGATGAGGTCTCCGTGCTTGAAAGTTGGAACCTGCAAATAATAATAAAAATAAAAGTGCAATATTTTAACAAAAGTTGTTTTGTCTCTTTATGAAAGTTGCATGTGTAGTAAACACGTAATGCAAACACCTGAACTCTGGGATTGAGCGCCTTCACTTCTGCACACTGGTGCTCCTTCTTGTCAAACGACAGATGTTTGTGTTTGTATCCCTGCAGTTTCTTCTCCTCCAGCGCGATCATGAGCCTCCAGCACGGCGGAGAGCCGGAGCACCAGTACAGCATCATGTTCTGCGCCATGACTGTTAATGTCGAGTTTACTCGAGGAATGAGGCCGTTACTGAGCCGACACCAGATTTTGCTGCGTCACATTACTTGGCGTCCGAGTCTGACGTGACGACATCACGTGGGCGTGGTTTGTTTGCGAGGTCAATGAGCATGCGCAGTTTACAAGCTCCGTGTGAAGATGTCCCATTTCGCTGAATATATTTTAGTGTAAATTCAGAATATGTATACGGTATTGAATATGTAATATAACCTCTTAACCAGCGCCCCATTTTTTGAGAATTTTCTGAAAATGACATACCCAAATACAAATGTCTGTAGCTCTTAAACCCTATGGTCCACATTCATAACTCTGATCTTTTTTTAAACTAGACACTTGAAACTTTGTTACCCAAGAGTCATTATTACTCAAAGTAGCATAGGAACAGAGTAAAACAAGGTAAAATTTACATGAATGTGACTCACGATTTCTTTTAATTAACTTCACTTAGGGAAAAAATGATCAGACTTTTATGTTAAGGGCCTGAAAACACCATAAAGATAAAATTGAATGTCTGACCATGTTTAGATTCAAATTTGAGGATGATACTCCCAAAAATGTAGTTTCTGTAAGCTTTTATTCAAGAAAAGTATAGGCGTCCTTTCCAAAATGCAATTTGGAGACTCCAAATGGACACCTGGCACCCAAACACTTTACATAGGGAGTAAACACTATAGGTCTGCAACAACAATTCAGAACTGTTATGCCCTTCAAACCACACAAGAAAAAAACGATTTCAGCACAACATTTGAACATTTTACCAAAATTATCTTTATTTTGAACAATTCTAATAGCAAAAACAGTGATTTCTCACTACATGTATAGACATTGCAGAAGTGTTCATTTTCCAACTAATGTATAAAATATATAAAAAGAAAAACATAAATGTTTTAGAACATTTGTAATTACAAACGTGGTTTTTACCCAAATAAATTGCAATAAACTGATACTTATAATGAATATCCTATTACTTCCTGTTGCTCTTCGTCATTTTCTGCAAAAAAACCTTCAAATCTCTTCTGTAGTCGACGATCCATGATACAGATGCTCAGATATAAGCTTTAGAGTAAATCCGTGCATTTATGCAAGCTCCATGTGTCAAAACATCGCGTTTATGTGTCTGTTTACATTCTGGTCGGCTGACTATGTGTGTGCGTGCTGCGCGCGTGGCGAAAGCGCACATGTGAATGAAAACTTTGCGCAGTTGAATTTGACGAATGTGCTTGCATGAACTGTCTATCACTGCAATCGATTTTAGTTGGCTAATACTCCCATCAATCAAAACGTAGCTCAAAGGACATTGGATAGCATTATCCAGGCTTTTATCCAGTCGAAAGCCCAGCTGCGCGATGGACAGCGCGCTCAGCCTGTCAGGGACTCTCTTACTGTTTTGGTCTGTAACAGAGCCTGTGATTGAACGAGAGAGAAGTAGGATGTATCATTCGATCCGGAAGAGTCTAAACTGCGGGGGTGAGATGGCTTTTGAGTGTTGGAATATGGATTAGAATCGATATTTCTTTGAAAATGAACATGATGCGAACTCTATCTCGAAAACGCTCATGAAAACAAAGGAGGATATTTCATTTTTTTCCCCTATTTTTCGTTGTTTTGGATTAAAAAGTGGGATGCATTTTGAAGAGTGGACCCTTACATTGAAATGTATGCTGTTGTTTCTTGGATTCTTCCGAACTGATCTGAACCATACGAGATGAAAGATGAGTATAGCGGTTCATTTTGCTCATTTTCAAATGAGCAGTCCTTTTGCATTTTATTTAACCCTTTCCTCTCTGGTGTATTGATTGCAAAAACAAGTCTAGAACATGGTTCTTGAGTGTTTTAGCTTTCAAATGATGCATAGTTTATGATAGTCAGATGAATATTTGTTATAAAACAAAGCTTAAAAAAGGTAATAAAAGTATAGCCACGCCCTCGACGGCCCGCTCGCGGGCCGATGCGGGTTAAGAAGATATATATTCAAATATAAATTATCACCAAAAAAAAAATGCTTTTGTTATGCCACCTAAAAATAATAATATGGAAGTCGCATACGTTAATACACTGGTAATTGTATGAATTTGATCTTTTAATAGAGACCAAAAAAAAACGCTTTTTCCGTTGAGGTTTTGCTTCTGCTGAGTTCAGATGAAGCTGCATCTATGAAGAGAAATGTTTTTTGTTTAATTCATGAATTACATTTAAAACGAAGATGAAACTGGGACAAACATGTATCAAATAAAATAGAAATAGACTTCTATGATTTTAAAATATTACATTTATTCAGAGAAATTGACAGACTACATTTCCCATGATTCCACACACACCACTTCACAACGTCATCAAACTACGGTTAAGCTTTTGATATACAGTGAGCGACCTCTAGTGGCGAAGCTCACCGCGCCCTCATAATAACATCAGGGCTGAAGCTCCCCCCCAACAGATTAAATGGAGCTTATATATAAAGCCGAATCATAATAGTTATAATATGAAAATTAAACATGATTTATTTGCAATTAAAATTTCTATTATTTACTCAATTTTTCCCCGTGAGGGGGTGCACCGTTCCTGGAGGTACTGCAATACCAGGTCGATGCGTGGAGTGGACGGAGCAAGCCCCTATTCCATCTCCCTGATCCAAAAATCAATTTAATATATGGTCCCCGGGTAGGGGACGTATCAGATATTAAACTGATAAGAACAGATACTACACTTGATCTTAGCCAAAAGGCCGAGAAGCGATACTGAGAATGGGTTCGAGCTAACCGAGTCACTCAGCGCGATACACACCTCAATGACGGTCACTCGGTCTGAGATCAGGAGAAACTCTTCAAACTACAAACACACACTCGAGAAATCATGTCCCGCTCGGAGACTGAGAGAAACGCGGAGATTCTCACAAATAACAAGATGAAAACCTCCTCGAAACATGCGGATTCAACCGTTAACCCGTTTACCATCGGCCAATCAAACACGAGCAGAGTCCATCGGCCAATCAAACATGAGCACAGAGTCCATCGGCCAATCAAACACGAGCACAGAGTCCATCGGCCAATCAAACACTAGCACAGAGTCCATCGGCCAATCAAACACGAGCACAGAGTTAGAGCACAATAAAGACTGTTTATCTCCGTTATTAGTCTTCGAAAGTCCTGAAACATTCACTGTTTATGAGTTCAGATAGCTGCTACCAGACTCAGAAAATAACGCTGAAGAAATTACGCTTTTTTACAAACTTTAACTCGCTTGATGCGAGTGTGGTTAAACGCGGTACTGCACGTTCGACGTCACTGACTGGACCTCAACAGGAATATACTAACGTTACTGATCATGCAAATCACCTCAGAAATGAGCGATGTTATCCAAGGACGGGAAAAAATCAACATTTACGGTTAATATAAGACATTATGTTAGTTTCAAATACATTAAGTAAAATACTGCAGGAAATCATCACAAACCTACATAAACACCTTAAAAAAACAACAACAAAAAAAACTTTCTAGACATTTCGAGGGGTCATGTTCAAATATCCAAGTTTGTTTGCCATTTAGAGGGACCACAAGGTACTCTAAAAACAGAGAATTAAAAGTTTTAATTGTAAAGATACTCACGACGGTCCCTCGAATTTGTAAACTTCACGGGAACGGACGGAGATTATTATAACATGCCCCCATCTTTAGATTTTTGTCTTTGAACTTCCGTTTTTGCGTAGCTCTGTATATGGCATTAACTGGTGAACTAGATTTACATTGTAGAGCTAACTAAACTTATCATGAGCATTGTAATGTTTGAAGTTTACCAGGTAGATTTTAAAACGAGTGGTTCATTCATTAATCCGTAAGATCTTACCTTCATGCTGTGGAAATACAAACCAGAAGATGAAACAGCTAGACTGAACACACACACACAAACTAATTATGATACTGAGAAACTTTCATTAACATTAAATTGAAATACAAAATAAATGGTCGTTTTGCTACTTTTATTTATACTATAAAGAGCGAGTATGAAGCGCTGGCGTCACGTAATGGATTTTATGGCAAAATAAAAGTGTATTTGTTTGAAATAATTGTAAATATATTCCTCAGAATGTTGTGTATCAATGGAAATCAAAACAAGTTCTAAAACACTGATATAATATGACAAAAACAAATATCTTAAGATAATTATAAACTTATTAAGGCAAAATTCATACTTTTAAGTGTTCTGTCCTCTGTGTGTGTGAGCAAGAGAATGAATGCAATATGCGAATGTAAAACCTTACAAATGTCTTGTACATGTACTGATATATTTGAAGTAAGACACAAACGCAATTATTTCCTTAATTTGTGGTCACATGATTACTTTTGATTATTGTTGTCTAGATACAGGGGGTGGTTCATTTTACCCACAGGCTCAGAAACAGAAACAAACAAGCCTTTGAAACGGTTTTGTTTGTAATTTTTTTTTACAGTGTTTCACAAATTACATAAATGGTGTAAATATAATTCAACATTTTAGCTTTCAAACGGATTAACAGTTACTGTGAATAAATGACAACGGCTCATCATGCAATGTAATATATATTTAGTTCACTTGGTAAAAGTGGTTAAATGTGATTGCCAATCAAAATCAACTAAAAACATCCACAGCCGTTTTACTGTACACTTACACAAAGAAATGGGCTATTTAATAAGTCATATTCCACATGTGTCACTCATAACAAATGAACAAGGATACAGAATAAAAGAGAACGGAGACCAAGGCAGTTTTCAAATATTATATTAATCTTTATTTCAGTTTTGACAAAATACCCATAAAATCCAAAGCTCCAACCTTTACAAAAATATGTCTTCTACAAATGTCCTCGGGTCTTTTCAAGGGAGCGAGCGAATAAAGCACAGTGTAGAGTATCTGACAACATTACTAGCTAGTGAAGCCCCGACTCGCTCTCCTCCCGCTAGCGTTCATGAGGTCATCGAGAGCCGATAGCAGCCGTCCTGTTCACCATACAACACTTCTTAAATTAATCAACTTAAATTAGCATTCCACAAATATACAGTAACAACATGATTGTTTTCCATTAACAACAAATAAGGTAGAACTAATGTACAGATGTTGAAGCCGTTTCAAGTGCCGCCAACAAAAAGCTTGATTATAAGATGATACACACACACACACACAAAAACAACAAGGTCTTTTTGGTCCCACAGACATGTACAGTAAGAGTACAGAAGCGCAGCAGCTCCGCACGAGAGAAGGCAACCGAGATTCTTCAAGCCAGTTCAAATGTAGATCTTTATCTTCTGACTCCAAAGTGCAACTGAGCGTACGAAGAGGAACCTGCAGGAAACAGAAGAGTCTCGCGTCAGCATGAAGGCGGTAAAATCAATAGAATCACATCTAGCAATATTATATGCTTATTTAGGGTTGAGAATTGAGCACTCGATGTGATATAAAATTAAAATGTAGATTCCTCTTATCGGCATTTCAATGTGAGTTTAAAGCATTCAAGCGAGAGACTCACACATGTATCAGTA